CATTTTTAGAGGGCTCGTTCCAAAGCGATCGTGCTCGAGGCTTTGGCAGCATTCAGTCCGAAGCGGTCATCCGGGTTGGCAGGATTTGACGTCTCGAGGAAATAAGCCCGAGGAACTCTCTCTCTCTCGGCCACTGGGTAATAATTTCAGAAGAAATCAGGTGTTGAGTCAAGAGGACCTTTCGGGTACGATTGAATACCAGGCGCTCCCAGCGCGCCAGGTATTCCTCGTTGGAGAGTGTTTTAGGATCTTGCAGGATGAATTACGTAACAGCGGTGTATTCGCGAAACGAAATTGTTGCGAGAAGTGCCGTATCGAAATGCTGTTTGGATCCAGCAATCTCAGTTGGAGCAAAGAAGAGATCTTACTTTGAGAGCAAATCGGCATTCGGACGACCTAAGCTTGTATAATACCGGGCGACCGTTCCGTGCTTCCTTACTTCCCATAGTGAATGTGACGTATGGAATGTAAAGAAGTATGGAGCCGCGTCCTGGTGAATCGTCGGGAAGCGATAGTCGTCTTTATTGAAGAATCGAGAGATTTCCGGATTTATCGTCGATGACGAAAACGGGGACTTGTGACGAACGAAAAGGCAAGGATAAGAATAAGAACCGGAAGGATAACGACGGAGCAGGATAATAGTGCCGCGTAAAAGAGTCAGTAACAAATGGTGTAAAGATAAAATTTGCGGTCTTGCGTCTTCTGCGATGCAAATCTTGGGAGCAGCCAGCCGCCAGAAATAGATTGCTTTCGCGTAACCGACGCCGATATGGCCCAGGCATCATTCCACGTACATATGGTCTTCCGCGGCCTCTATTTATGGCTTTGGTGCCGCTACCATGTGGTCACCACTTTTATTATCCCCTCACAAGCTCTTCGTCATTCTTAGCGCGATGACAGAGGACTCGTATCTCTTCTCGTGTATCTTTCCTCTCATATTATTCTAGTTGATAACTGTAGTTAATTATTACTAACTACTATAGTAGCTTATCTTTTTGCAAAATTATCTTTTACATTAGCAATCAGCCGCTAATTCAGATTTCCATTCATTTCCACAGATTTTCAATCGTTCGATTTGATTGCAGCGGCGAGGAAGGCGAGACACGGAAAAAAATGGGCGAGCGAGCGAAGAAGAAGACGCGTGTGGCTGGATGCTGTTTTCGAGCCCGAAATAGGACCCAAGCACAACCGCAGCCATATTTCCAGAAATAAGTTCTCCGGTTACAGAATCTATTTCCGGTGCGCGGGCCGCCGACCGGTGCCCGGTTGCACGACGATCGGTGACGTATTCGGCTGCAGGTGTAACCTCACGTTGCATAGCAGGATCGTACGCGCGGTATTTGGTTCTGGTGTCCGGAAAAAAGATTCAGTGTTGGTCGTAACGTCGTAACGATAGTCGGCCAGTGACGTCAGTGATTACGGTGAGATCGACTATGGTTCACGTAATGAGAACGAGCGTATTCTGATGCGCGCGTATTCTCAAGCGCACCGTGTAAATAACGCGATTATAGGTGAATGTGTGCAAGTTACAATTTGCCTTGTAATAATGAGACTATTATTATTAAGGCTGTTATTATTAAATATTTGAAGAATTATTCCTTATTATTTATCAAATGCTTTAATTATTATGTACATATTGTAAGTATTATTAAATTCTACTGTTTTATCTTTCTGAGGTTGATGTATTTATATATATATATTTTTTAGAGGAAAAGAGCGTTGTTACATAGATCACATGGATGTATTTCCGATAATTTCCGATAATCTTCTTACATCATTTGTCGATTATTCTGTGTACTTTGTGCAACGTTCGGTCTCACGAATTTTGGCGAACAATGCCGCGATTTGATTCGGGGTTCATTGGGTAGTACATTACGTTTGCATAGATGCGCATGAATTTATCGACGGTAAAATAGATTTGCGCTTCTCGTGGCAGTAATGCTCTTGATTAAGCCGAATGAATTACGCTGATATTATTGCCGTGAAATAATAATATTATTCCTGGTATTATCGGCTAATGCCGCCATTTGCATTAACGTCGGCACCTGCTAATTGGCATCGCCCGTCGCATTTTGTCTATTTGCCGTACGTGTTACACGAGTAGCCTGATTATGCTAATCACCGTCGAGTAATAACGCATTTAAACGAATGTACTGAATTGCTAAAACAGATTTGCAAAAAAAATCTTTTTTTCTCACATAGTTTCCTCCTTATCTATATAAATATCCTAATTTAAAGTCGAATAGAAATCTGGGGAATTGCTTGTAAATTTTCAAGGATTGGAAAGTTACCTTTCATTTCCATAATTATTAGAGGAAAGATCAACGTTTACCTGAGAATTGAACTTGGAACGCGCACCAATCACCCCAAAGACGTCATCAAGTTGTCGAGGATTGGGAAGCAGTATAGAGAGAATTTAGAGAGCGGATTATGCGACGTTTCGCGATAATCACGGATGGCTCGGATGCAACCTTGGCACGTTTTCGGTAGATCGATAACGCAGCATGGCAGAGACGGATCGGTGGTCAAAAGTCCCGGGAGAAGGAACCCGTTGGCTACGCAGCACCCAGTAGCGGCTACGAGGGTCGAATGACAGAATCGCGGGGTATTGGCTGTTCGGTACGATCGTCACGTTTACCGCGACAATTTATGACGATTGGAATAGCGACCGTTACGCGTTCACGCGATACGACCGGACTGCAGGAAGACTCCAGTGCGCGACACCTTATCAAACTGGTTCAATTAGTGGCTAGCGCGGGGAGAGTGAGGACAGAGAAAGAGAGAAAGAGAGAGAGGGAGGAGACGAAAGGATTAGTAATGTCCTTGTTCTCTTTAATTTTAATTTTTTAAATCTCTATTGCGAAAGAGAAATATTATTGCATTTTCCTTCGAAAATACTAAGGTATATTCTCGCTTTTAATTATGTTATCATTAAAAAAATCTCTGATTATATATTATGTCGTTGAAATTTTTTTAGTTTAATGAAATCTAAAATAAAAGAGACAAAAAGAAGAAAGTTTAATTTTACTGTAAGTCGTTGTCTATTTTCATGGTTTAATGTACGACATTTTTCACCAATTCCATTCTGAATAAGCTGAAAATACAATAGACGGGGAAGATACCGATTGGAATATCCTATTTATCATATAATAAATGTACTTTTCCAAATAAAAATCTCTAATTATGAGACATTATCTCTTCAGTGAAAGGTTTCAACAATCTAGGGTTCAGTATGTGGCTTCGTTAGAGTCACGTTTAGTCGGGTTTCCGAGAGAACATTACCTTATCCCCACGAGAATGTCCCGTAACAGGCGGTATTTAGGGATACAACGAGAAAGGACGCGGGTAGGTGGACGCCGTTGAGATTGTACTAATTAAGTCCCACGTCCCATTAATTGTCAGCGTTCCTGTCTTGTCAGTGGCCACCGTCCGTCGTTGCGGTTGCGAACACCGGTAGTTAACCAAATTTCGATATCGACATGTTTCATTCCGTGAACAAGTCTCTTCCTGTCCTCATCCTTCGTTCGAATGGCCATTTACTAGATCCTCTAAGCTGGACGTATATTCAAGTATATGAAGTCTTATGAAGTTATAATTCTTATTTGGATAAAATTATTAAAAAGTTTTCCAGAATTTAGTTTTCCAGAATTTAGTTTTCCAGAAACGGATTTAGTGCTCAAATACATATTTCTTGTGCAAATTTATATACGCTCTGATTCCGCATTTATATACATTCTGATCGTGCGTCGAAATGGGTTTTCTATGCGGCCGGTATTCATAGTTAGATCTTATATTCAAGACCGTCTTAAGCACAGTCTTAACAAGTTACGAACCAATCAGAAAGCCATATTACCATCTTAAGACATTGCTTAAGACAGTTGAAATAAGAACGGACTATGAATACCGTCCTATATGCCGCGTATGTAATATAAAAGCCTGAATTAAAAGCAATAATTATAAAATAATAGTAAATAAATATGCGTGATAATATTTATAAAGTGTCGCTCACAATCTGTTTCACAGTTTAGGTAAATTTAATTTTTTAAAAGTTGATTCTTTTCTATATGTTAGGATGAGCGATTACGTGAATATCAGTGTTTCGTCAAAATGTCGCAGACCTAATGTCGGATCGCCTTCGCGAATTTCAGGGATGTTCCCATATCAGACTTTCGGAACTCCTACAGGAAGAATCGCCCGCGCCGCGTTCGTTTATCAAAGTCAACGGATGGATGATCTCCAGATTGAGTCACGGAGCGCGTTTTCTCGTCGAGATTATCTAGCGCGCGTCCAGAAAAACCGGCCCACTGCGGTATTACGAGGGCGACGGTAAAATGCAAACTTGAGATGCACGTCGCGCGCATCGCGATAGCTTCCGTTTCTCTCACCCTCCTTTTTTTTGCATACGTCCGTCCAATTTTCGTCGTTTTCAATGGGAGCTCTCGATGCTCACTCGATAAATCTATCTAGACGAGAGAATATATCCACGCGCTTGCCAGTTTCCGCACGTAAGCGAAACGTCAGCTTTCCTAGTTTCTTGGAGCCGAGCCGCCGCCTAACTCTCCAGGCTCACCTCCCCGGTCCTCTCTCTAGCTATCCCTTCGATATATCTTACCATCTCGAGACATGTTCGCAAGGACACTCTGATTACTCGTTGAAGGATTCAGTTCTTCATATTTCAGAATACTGAATCATAAAGGTTAGTTCCATAAATTAGTGACAAAATATCCTCTTTAATAATTATGTGTAATATTATCATGATTACACGATTTAAGAATTTGAAGTACATAAAATTCCAAAAGGACATTACGTTTCTTAATTTTTCTCAATAAAAGTTTCAGAATTCGTATTTTGCGTCGCAATATCTCCGCTCGTAGAGCAAGTAGAGAAAAAATAAAAACACTTTCATTATATATCCTGAGCGGTTGCAATCGATTGAGCACACTTAGAACTTGATCGATTCAGCTCTTATTGAGATCCGATAATTTCGATCTGCCGCAACTCACCGGCTCGCGTAAAATAGCCACGGTAGTGTCGTTGCGCGTAGTTTAGCGCCGAGACACTACCAGTGTCTCCAGGTATTTTACATGTGTAGAATAAAAATTCCATTAATTTAAGAATTTGAAGTACGTAAAATATTTTATACGTGTAAGATAAAAATTCCATTAACTATCTTCAACACTTTCTCCGTCATTGATCGTATCGATTTCACGATTACACCGTGATTTCAAATGAGAGGCGACGATGTCACAATTAAATCGTTCGATAGGGCGTTCGATGGAATCTCAAAGACTGCAAGCGGCTCACGAAGCGGCGCTTCGACACCGATTGAAACTCGGCCCTCCGGGTCGGAGGCGTTGAGTGCACTTCTCGGGGCATGACACGAATAGCCGAGCGGCTCGAGGCGCGCGTTTGAACTTTTAAAGTAAGCGCGGCTCTTCCTGCGGCGGCCGCCGACGTTTCGGCAGGACGATCACGCACGTTCAACTTCGCCGGCTAATCAGAAAAATCCACACTCCACCGAGCTTATTGAATTGTCTTGGCCCGGGCCAACCGAATTCAACCCTACTATATTCCTTGTCCCCCTCTGAGAAAAAAAAAGACGATTCTGTCTGTCTCCGTAATCGCCCTGGTCAGAATTCCTTTCGCGCGTCTCCCTTTATCTATATATACCTACTATCTCATCATCTTTTATTAATTGTCTTGAAAATTTGTTTAAGATTTAAGATTTTAATATTGTGTGTGTGTGATGTAACAAAACACACACCGATTTGCTGAAAAATATAAACTTCTTCACAAATAAAAATAAATGCCCCGATATTAGTGATGCACGAAAACGAGACAAGATGATATTTTTCAAAATATTGTCTTGTCTCGCAAAAATATTGAAAAATTAATTCTTGTCTTGATCTCGTTATGATCGAAAATAAATCTCGTGTTGATTTCAATATTCTCGAAAATATTGATTTTTTTACAAATTTTTGTAAAAAAAAAAATCAAAATTTTGTAAATCAAAAATTTGTAAAAAAATGATAAATCAGCTAAGGCTCTGTTATGTCTCAATTCATGAGTAAATGCAGGATATTTCTAAAAGGTATATATAAAATTATATTATAATAAAATT